ATTACGGACAGGGTAATTCCGTGAAGGTTAGGTATCAATGTATAAACTGGGTAGGGGAGTGGGCATAATATGTAATTTAGGTATTGTGGGCCCTAGGGTGTTGCTGCATTTACAAAGGGTATTGTTATTAACTTGAGTGGTGCTGTATGTAGAGGGTGTATTGTGGGCACTTTGGGTGCTGTAGTGTAGGTACTGTGACTATAGGACAATCAGCACAGTTCTTTATTGACTGATAAAAGAGGCTGATATTTAGGTATTCATTGTGCTATTCAGCTGCCCATATAGTCCCATTCAGGTTTTTAAAGATGGCTCACAGTTCTGAGAGAATTGTCCAGGCCTAAATTATGTATTCATTAAAAAAAGTTAAACAATTATTAGTTCAAAAAAGATACAGTCCCCCATAAATAGAAATCCCTAAAAAGTGGAAATGATCTGATGAATAGATCACAAACAAGTAATATAATATAACAAAATTTATTGAATTTCAACACTATACTTATAAAGACACCTATAACACGACATTTAAAAACAGTTAAAACAACGCTTCCCTGGAATCACCTGTGTATAATGATGCGGGTACTGAACATTTGAATCTCCTACGGGGCAGGAAGTCTCTGATGTGAGTGAGATACAAATATATCCACAATAGAGAAAAACAGAGTTGTACTCACATTATATGTAACCGGTAAAAAGATGATCCTAATTGGATCCCACAACGATACATGCATGTAGTTGTTTCGGAAGGAATGTATCGGTTACATATAATGTGAGTACAACTCCGTTTTTCTCTATTGTGGATAAATACATAGGCAGGAGACAGCAGAGCTCCTCTGTGTGCCGCTACTTATCCTTTCCCCAATCAGCAGGGTGGTAGAGTGTACTGATCAGTGTTACTGACAATACTATGTGCTGCAGCCTGTAAAGGGTAAATATGGCTGTGCTGTCTGGTAGGAGTGGCTGTACAGAAGTACGCAACTTTTGGCAGATAAGGTTGTTCTCATGTTTAACCCCTTCACGACCAACGACATACAGTGTACGTCGGTGGCATCGGGGCTATTTAAACAGACTCCCGGTGGCGACTCTGTTTAAACTTGTAAAGCTGTCGGCTTTACAGTAGACGCTATTCTGGCGACTCAGCTGTTGCCATATCGCTTCTATGGCCCGGTGAAGGGGTCCCCCCGCCTGACACTGGCCCTGTTTCCCGGGCTCCATTGCACCTCCTACAGGCCCGGGACCAGCTTCTCTGGTGTTGGGAGGAAGCTGGGGAGCAGATGGACAAACCTCCGTTCGTCCATCCCCTTCCCGCTCTATGGGACCGGGAGCGATGCAGATTGCATCACTTCCAGTCCCATAGCTGTCAGTGCTGGGCTCCTGAAGCCCAGCAATAAGCTATTGAAGTGCGATCTGCATTTCAATAGCTTACTTGGAGTGTAAAGGGGACACCTTTAAGTGTCACCTTAAAGAGTACCTGTCACCACCATCTGCTATCACATGGGGGCTTGAAACTCCCCATGTGATAGCAGTTAAAGTAAAAAAAAAAAACCCCAAAAACTGTTTTTATAATTAACAATAAAATAAATCTAAAAATAATTTTAAAAAATGTTTAAAGTCTCCCGCCTCCGCGAGCACGCGCATCTTGGCGTAAACACGCGTCGGGTTTGCCTACGTATGATAACGACGAACGCGCTACACATGTTGGGTATCGCCGTCCACACCGGAGTGAGAGCAATAATTCTAGGGCCAGTATTTTTGGATCTCTCTAAACTGATGACCTGTAGGGACTTTTAAAGTGTCGTCTATGGCCTATTTGGGGTACTGAACTTTGTCACAGTTTCACGGACGCACACAATTTTTAACCTGGCCATGTTGGGTATCTATTTACTTGTTGTAACCTCATCTTTTATATTTTATTTAAAAAATTGGTATTTTATTGTGTTTTGGGGCATTGAAGTACATTTTTCACAAAATTTTGGGGTTTGATAAGGAGTTGCGCTAATATCGTGCAACATAAGGATTTGCAACTGCCACCATTTTTTGCACCCATAAT